AGATGCAAATTAATAACTGGTGTTTGGCAATGAATCTTTCTCTATAAAGCTGTGATTCTCTTCGCTACTGAATGGGCATGTATTTAAGTTAAATAAGAAGGGACATATTTCATTTGGCTATAAAAAACAAGCCCTTGGAACCAGCAGGTGGCATGGTGGTTAAGGGTGTTGAACTCCCACATGGCTGATTGCAGTTCAAGTCCCGGACCTGGCGGCTTGCTTTTCTCTGTTCCCCCTCTCTCTTTCTCTCTCTCTCTCTCTCTCTCTCTCTCTCTCTCTCCCTCCCTCCCTCTCTGGTCAAATTTAAATAAATTAATTAATTAAGTTAAATAAAATAATTCTAAAAAAAATAATAATAACCAAGCCCTACAGAATGGTCTATTAGAAAGAACATTTGTTTTGGAGCTGAATACAGTTACCAATTTGTCTAGTCAATGTTTCTGACTTTCTACAGATTTATCTATAGAACTGGTGGCATGGTGGATAAGACAGCTGGATCTCACATGGCTGACTCCATGGTTCAAGTCAAGGACCCAGCAACTGAAAAAGCATGCCAAGTGCATTTGCATGCATGCCTAAAATCTTGAGAGGAGAATGGAAGAGAAGGGCTTGTAGCATGGCCATTCCCTGCTGGGAGTACTCTCTTGCTTTCCCTCTCTCTGCCTCTCTCTGGCAAGCACACACACCCTCTAGAAAAAAAAAATTAGGATGAATAGAAATAACTTGGAAAAATTATTCATTACCATACAAGTTTAAAGGTGAACAAAGAAAGACTGTTGCATTGCAGAAGAAAGAGACATTTTTGTGGCTACATTTTTAGATTGGTTCACCCCTTCCCTGAATCTATCCCAATTAAAGTGATTTTGTTCTTATGGCTTGAGGTTCTCTATCATATTTAGCCCATCATGTCAGAAAGAAAAGTAAAAATGGTGAGGAAACAAGATATCAAAATAAATCTATAGAGAGACAAAGAAATGTCTTTTTGAAATGCTTGTTTTAAAAGCAAGTCTAGCTTCATTTTCTGGTGTAGTTAAAATGCCGTGGGAAATGTGCCTACAACCAGAGGACATTGACCTTTGGAGGTGTTGACTGCTCCTGAAGAGAGTTCAGTGCTTCTCAAAGGAATGGGGTGGAGTGAAAGCACACCCATGCAGAGGCAGGAAGGAGAGGGCCACGCCCCAACAGCAAGTCAGCTCATTCTTACACCAGATCCTGAATTCTAAATAGGTCTACAAGCTCGGGAGCACGTGGGCTGCAAAATTTGTGTATCAGATCTGGGTTAATGTTTGCGTCATGCACAGAGGAATAACTCTGGGTATTTAAAAATTCACCCTTCTGGGCCAGCCAGGTGGTGTGGTAGATCCCACATGGCCAACTGCATGATTTGAGTCACAGATCTAGAAGCTTGTAAAATAGGCTGGGTGCATGTATGTGTGCCCCAAATCCAAAGAGGAGAATTAAGGAGAGGGAAATGCAGTGTGAGAATGTGCACACATTCTCCCTGGTGGTAGTGTGTGTGTGTGTATGTAGGAGGGGGGGGGTTGTGGAGTGGGGTCAATGATTTCTCACTTTGCCTCTGTCTCCTGTCTGTCTCTCTCTGGGAAGTACACATGCCCTTAGCAAAACAAACAAACACAAATATTTACCCTTTCTTTCCGTAGGGAACTTACAAGTACATAATTTATAAAATGTATATTGAATGTGAAGATCATTCCCTAGTAGGCAGTCTTCCCTGATCCCACAGAATAGTTGAGTATCTTTTATTTCAGTTTGTTTATTTATTTTTTATCTCAACAGGGTCTCATGCCACAATCCACCCCCAGTCTCAGACAGCCCGAATCATAGGCACACATATGCATGCCCCATATCCTCAGGGGCATCCCAGAATGCAAATACAGGACTTTTCTTATGGGTCCTGTTGTGTTGACACTGCACTGTCTGTCACCCGGCCCCTGAATCTCGCCCTTGAAGAAGTTATCTCAATAAAGACCTAGCTACTCATTTTCACATAGGTACAAACTCTGGATTTTCAAGTCAGGAGGCAGAAAGTTTAAGCAGGGTGAAGTGTTTTTCCACCTTCTCAAGTAGCATGATGATGCATCTTCATAAAGCAGAGAATAGGGAAGCCACTTGTTTTGTCAAGTCAATCCCTAGTTTCTTATGATTAGTGGATGCTTCTACTGTAGTCTGGCAATCTCATGGCCTTAGCTTTTTCTACATGATGGGCCAAGATTTTGTTGTAACTGGTGTTTCAAAGGGAAGCTGGGGGTCACTCTGAAGACACAGCCTGGGAGGGTGGGTAAGGCCAGAGGCCATCCGGAGTTCAAGTCACTCCTTTTTCTGGGTTTGGTTTTCCTCACAAGCTAAATAGGCATTTGAACGCTATTATCTTTGTGTCTCCTCTACCCCTGGTACCTTATGCCTCCTGTGATTCCAAATCCAAAATTAATTTTCGCTTAAGTTTATAAATAGAACATTTCGGTTCTTTCTGCCTTCTCTTCAAAACCAAGTATTGCTGTATTTTGGGTAAGATTCCTTATAAAATCTGAAACCAAAGTTTGATTCAGACCTTCTTGACTCTTTTCTCTCGACAGGCTGTTTCTGTTACCATTTTAAATAAGGCTTTAAAAGCTATAAATATTTGAGGATGTAAAATAATTCATAAAGCAATAGTCTAAACTTTTTTAATGAAATCCAAGAGCAAATAGTTTGAAAATGAGTTTTCTGAAATTATGCATCTCTTTTAAAAAATACATCTTTTTCCTGTGAGAATATGAAAGGGTATAATTTATTATCGTAAATGTGTAACTTTTACTCATAATAAAATCTATAGCACTGCTATTTAGAAAAAATGCATTTGATATGAGATTTCCAAATTGACCTTGAGAAGTTGCCCAAGTCTATATGAAATAGATAGTTCCCAGTATGTATTTGTATATATATCTTTTTCCTGCAGAAAATCATAATTCCTTCCTAAAAAGAATGTCATTTTCAGTGAGGACCAAAGAAGGGGTGAAGTGACAGAAAGGGCTATGTCTCATATGCAGCCACCTCCCTAAATTCTATAATCTCAGGACCAGCAGATGGTATAATGGTTACATCACTGGACTCCCATATAGTTGGCTGCAGTTTGAGTCCATGACCTGGCAGCCTGGAGCTCATGCCAGGTGTATGTGCGTGTGTGTCCAAAATCCTGAGAGGAGACTGGAGGAGAAGGGATTGCAACATGGTCATCCTCCCTGGAGGTAGTTTCTCATTTTCTTTCTATCTCTCCACTGAGTGCACATGTCCTATAATAATAAAAAATAAAAAAATTAAAAAAATTTAAAAAAATTCTGCAGACTCTGTATTTTTCTCTAGAAAGTACCAGTTCAGGGAATTAGCAGACAAACCAGTAGCATTAGATTGTCCACAAATTCTTTCTACATAGTCTCCTTTGCTCCCTTGATAAGTCAGTTCCTATTCCTAAGGGAAAGGAGAGCAAAGAACCCAGAGAGGATGGGAAGGAGAATGAGAAAGCTCACTCTCGACTCTTCAGTGGCTCCCGTTACCTGCAGAATAAAGTCTGAGTGCCTCATGCACATGCTTAAGACATTTAAGACTCTTGTTGTCTGTACCCAGCTGACACAGCAGCCTCACGTACACACACAGAGAAGTCAGGGATGGCATCCGAGAGGTAAAGCAAAGCAACTGGGTTGGGATCTTCAATCAGGAGTGAGGTGAGAGCTAGTATAGGTTCAGAGCAAAGGATAATGGGCTATGCCTTATTTTAATTCTTACTCATTCTTCTCAAGTACATGCCATATTTCCAGCATATGGACCCTTCACCCTGAGAACATTTCCCAAGCATTCCTACCCATAATCATCTCATCCTGCCTTGTGGCTATCCTCAAGGCCCTCCTATATAAAACTTCCCTGCTTTCTCTAGCAAGATGTGGCTCTCCCTCTCACTCTAATGCTATGAATGTCCAAAGTACCTGGCCTCAGCTGTAGTTTCAGCTTTTGCATTTTCTGTCCTGTATTAACTATTGTTAGATGACAAAATTAGACATGTCTTGCTTTGGGTCTTAGGTGGTTTACTGATCTCTTCAGTCCAGGATTACAGTTCATGCAGAAACACAGTGCTCCGACTTCGGATGGCAGAGAGACCCAAGGCCTCCACAAGGCCTTCAACTCAGTAACCAGGCCCTCAGCCGTATGACAGTGTGCTGCCTACCAAACAGCAGTTTTGCCAACAGGCCCAACTATTCAAGCTCAAACATGCTTCTGAAAACATATTGAGTGGCTAAAGAAGATTATGATGATAATAAAAAATTAAAAAAGAAAGATTGGATTGCTGTATCAAAAAATATATAGAGTGGGGATGTTCATGTTTGAAAAAGCTAAGACCAAACTATTATCTCAACCATACTTTCCCCCCAACTAAACTACTGTGGTATATAAACTCCTGTTGTTATCCTTCTGATGGAATTCCTCCTCCTCATTTGTCACTGCCACTTGTTTTAGGACTTGTCTTATCTTGTACTGTCATCTTTGTTACTTTTTTTTTGGTCTATCTATTTCTTAAGGAAAGGAGAAAGAGAGACACAGAAAAAGAGGAAGCCAGTACCCAAACAGGGTCTTCACAACATGACCCAGCCCCAGCCTAAGTAAGCATTCCTGGTGTGTACAGGGAGAACTTGGGAGGCAAACTTTGGACCTCTCATGTGGCTACCACAACACAGTGTGTCGTGTTGCCACTGTGCCACTGTGACTTACCTGTAACCCTTATTTGTCACAATTGTGTTTCTATCCCACCACAAAGTAAGTGCTTTGGAAATGGAGTCTTCACAGATTTATTTGTGATCTCTTCTGTTCCCTCACCCACTGACCCTTGCTAAGAAAATATCTGCAGCTGAATTATTTGCATCGTTCTTTCAAGTCTTCCTCCCAGCCTTTAACTGCAAATGAAATACAAAAAGCAAGAGATGAAAGCTCACTTTCTACCTCTCTTATGACAGGATTTTGTGCCTTTGTATCAAGACTTTGAGAATTTTTACACACGGAATCTTTACATGCGAATCAGAGACAACTGGAACCGGCCCATCTGCAGTGCCCCAGGACCTCTGTTTGATGTGATGGAGAGGGTGTCGGATGACTATAACTGGACATTTAGGTGAGGCAGCCACCTGGAGGGGCTTGTTGAAAAGAAAATCCTCTTAAGGAAATTCTAGCATGGTTACCAGATTGCAGGTCTGAATAAAAAACAAGTCATGAAAGTGGCTGATCTTCTATCATTCAGCACTTTGTGACCCTCATACCAGTGGAGGAAAGAACAGTAATTACTTTGCCAGGGTAGCTTGCTTTTATTGACTGACTGACTGATTAAGATTTTTGCCATAGGTATGCATGCTCACCAGAGAGAGATGAGACAATGACAGGGAAAGTGAGAAATCATCTCCCATGGGGGATGGCCATGCCACAGTCCCTTTTCCTCTATTCTCCTCTTGGAATTTTGGGCACACATGCACATACACTTGGCATGATACTCAAGTCTCCAGGTCCAGGATCTGAACTACAGTCAGCCATGTGGGAGTCCAGGGCCCCAAGCACCTGCTGGTCCCAAGGTAGCTTGCGTATATCCTACTTAAAAAAAAGATCTATATCAGAAGGTACAGGACATAGAGTCAGCCACAAAGCTATGTTGACAAATCATACCCTTTTCACAAAAGGAGGTAGTAAGCACTACGGCTCTTGCTCTATTAGAAGATTCTTGCTGGAATTTAAAACACAGCATGGGTGTCATGAAAACAAGAAAACCGGGTACAACGAATACTCTGTGGCTCTGTATACCTTTCTCCAATGATCTGCCCAATTTTATTATGGGGTTTCTTTTCTCTAAGGACAAACCATTTTATGATGACAATAGCACAAATTAAAAAGGAAAGGGAAATCTATGATTTGGTCTGGACCCAAGATCTCTTTGGATGAGATCAAATGAGCTAGTCCTTTGAGCTCTCACATGTATCCCTACAGGTATACTGGAAGAATCATCAAAGATGTCATCAACATTGGCTCCTATAACTTTCTTGGCCTTGCAGTTAAGTACGATGAGTCTATGAGGACAGTCAAGGATGTTTTAGAAGCGTATGGGTCAGGTGTGGCCAGCACCAGACATGAAATGGGTATGTATACTCATTATTTTGAAATTTTGTCCAGCCAGGTCTCAGATTCCTTGTGGCAACTTCTCAAATCTAGTGTTATCCAGACAATGTGTTTCATAATTCTGTTAAAAATGTGAAAGAAAAGGGATGACAGCATGGTACTATGACCAAATAATTTGTTAATTACATGTTTTAGTTCTTCAGGGTACAAAATGATTATTTCCTGACCATAGTATCTAAAGCCCAATGTTCGTGCCTCCTTTAGCTAGTCTTCTTCTGTTCTTTCTTCCACTTTTCTTAATTAGATTACCACTGATTAAAATGATCTTACTTTTCTATTTGTATGAAGCTTGTCTCTGCTACTAAAAATGTAAGCTTCATGAGGAGAGGGATTTGTTTGTGAAAGGTTATGTTCAATGAACAAATGAATGATCAATGATGAAATGAATAGACAAAGTGAAATGGACTGCCTATTTTGGTTTTGGCCAAGATATTTTTCTCTTATTCCAAGAAGTGCTACAAAGAAAGAGAATAATGCAAGTTTACTTTTGTAGAGTGCTTTGTGATTCTTGGCATGTTGGATTTTTATACAGCATATCATTCATTCTTAAAAAAAAATTCTGGGGAACCAGCAGTTAGCGTAATGGCTATGTCGCTGGACTCCCACGTAGTCGACCGCGGTTCGCATCCCAGACCTGGTGGCTTAAAACTCACGCCGGGTGCGTGTGCGTGCGTGCCCAAGATCCCGAGAGGAGAATGGAGGAGACGGGATTGCGGTGTGACCATCCCCCCTGAGGGGTGATTTCTGGCTTTCTGTCTCTATGTCTCTCTCTGTCTGTCTGGCGAGTGCACGCACCCTATAGCAAAAACCTCTACCAGAAAAAAAAAAAATTCTGTACTATATCGTCTGCAGCACAGGTGGTGGCAGTCTCATTTTGTGAGGTAGAAATTAAGGATCGAGGAATCTAAAGGATGTGTCTAAGGTGGTTACTTTACCATACAAACTCCCAGCCTTACTGAGGGTCATGTGCAAAGTTTACCAGAACAGTTGCAGCCTAAGAGTCAGAGGCAAATCAAATAAAAAGGGGATTAACCGTTAAGAATGATATGCCAGGGACCAGCAAATGGCATAATGGCTACATCGCTGGACTCCCATGTAGTTGACCACGATTCGAGTCCTCGGCCCAGTGGCTTAAATTAATGCTGAGCACATGTGTGTGCATGCCCGAGATCCCGAGGGGATAATGGAGGAGAAGGGATCGCATTGTGGCCATCCCCCCTGGGAGATGATTTCTCACTTTCTGTCTTTCTGTCTCTCAGTCTCTCTATCTGTGTCTTTCTGGTGAACGCACGTTCCCTATAGCAAAAACTTCTCCAAAAAAAAATGAATGATATGCCACTAAATTATTCAAGCTGGTATAATAATTCAAGCTGAATAAAGTAAATTTTTATTTAGGCATTCAGTAAACACTTAGCTAACGTTCTATAGTTAACAGTGGTTTCCAAGATTTCTTAAGAAAGATATCTCACTTACCTTCATTTTGAGGCCTCAGGTCTGGTGATGTAACAGGAAATGGAGATAGGGAAAGGTTTTACTACCCTGAGAACAGGCTAACCTGCAACACCTGCCTCGGAGATGGGGTAGAGACTGGAAGAACATCCTCAACTATTAGAAGCACATGCAGTCAGTAACCTTTTGTGGTGTTGTTGCTGATGCAGTTTATAGGGTTTTTAAATGTTTACTTATTTATTTCTCCCATGAACAAAAAGACAGTGAGAAAGAGAGCAGTCCCAAATGATCCTAATTAATCTACCCCCAGCTTCAGCCAGCTCTAGATCTTGGGCACACATGCACTCAAACCCTCAGGGAAGTGTGTGGACATGAACCCAGGACCTTCCCATGTGGACTAGCTTTGCAAAGTGTCAGGATTGTCTACGATATTTTTTTTTAATGACCAAACTGAAGACACATTCCTGAAGATGATGCCCCCCCCCAATTCAGAACAGCCCCCTACTGCAGCTGGTGGCAGCTGAAGGGAGGCATTTTGACACAGGCAAATGATTGCCCTGAAGTGAAAGTCTGACACAGAATAGGAGTCTGATTCTACAGAGTCAGCAAACCCAGAGAAACTAGGGAGAAATGTGGTACTACCCACAGCCTAAGTTCTTTCTCCGCCAACTCACACTTCTGAATCATTGACCTTTTATATTTACTCCATTTAGCTGTCTAGGTCAAATTTCTAAGAAGTGGATTTTAACAGTTTTCAAATAAGTAATGAGAGACCCAAAGAAAAGCTTCCCACACTAATTTTAGGCAAACTAGAAAGACTGAAACATAAATACATGCAATCAAGAATGAATAAATAAAAGAAGGGACATTTGAAAGTATTCTGCAACATAAAAAATAAGCCTTACATGTAAGGATTAGGAGTAGCATAAAAACTATTTATTCTAAGAAATACAAGTAACTTTTGGAAAACATTTGTTAAGTCTAAGAAATAATTAATAGTGTGAATAGGCTAACAATGAAAATTGGAAATATAAAGGCTTAGCAATTTTCAGTAATCAAAATAGTTTCCTGAGGAAACAAATGTAAAAGTTTAACAACATTTAATCACTTAAAAGGAATTTCTGAGATCTTTGAAAAATAGTTTTCAGTGTTCTGGGATGGGGAGAAAATATAATTCACATTAAAAAGAAAAGCAAAATTTAAAAAAAAAAAAAGGAAATTACAAGGAAGCATTTAAAATACAGTAAAAGGATAGCATGGAGTATGCACAAATTTTGACCAATGAATCAAGTAACTAATATTGTCTACTAAAAATAAGCAGATTGATATTTGGCCATTAATTTAAACTCAACTATGTGCCATAGTTTAAAAAAAAATGCATACTACTAAATTGGGGCCAGATAGTGTGTTGTTAGAACCAATTGGATCCATATGGGAAAGTCTCAGATTGTGTCCTGGGTCCTCCTCCCTCTCTATGTTCTGGGAGCATGCACATGTGTCCGTTATCTAGGCATTATGAGAACCCTGTTAGAGGTCTCTCTCTCCCTCTCCCTCTCCCCCTCCCTCCTTCCCCTCCCTTCCTCCCTCCCTTCCTCCCTCCCTTCCTCTCTTCCTCTTTCTGGGAAGAGAGAAGGACAAATAAAAAAATTTAAAAAACTAAATTAAAAGTATTCCAAAGATTGAAAAGTAGAATAATAGGTACCAACCAGGCACTTGGTTCCTACTCCCTGCTGCAATCCCCACCACCACTATACCTTCAGTGACCAAAAGGGAGTCAAGTCAGTGGAAGGACCTACAAAGGAAGAGCAGCCCAAGATGAGGGTTGTTTGCAAACCTATACCTGCAAATGTTAATACTTGGCCCCCAAATACAGCTGAAATTGATACCTTGACAAATAGCTACAGAAGTGAAATGCTGCTTTTAAGATGTGAAATGATGTACTGCTGCTTATTTTAGAGTACAACTTAAATATAGTGAGTGAAATTCAGAACTAAGAAAAGTTTTAACTCTCTCCTGGGTCGATCTAAAATTATACAGTCTAATGTCTAATGGAGGTGGGAGAATGTATACTTTTTAAATGTGTGTGTGTGTGTGTGTGTGTATGTATGTGTGTGTATAAACTATCTCCTCTTTAATTTTTTATTACATTTAATCACTGTGCTTTTTTTACAGCATACAAAATTATCTTTCCCAGCATGAATACAGTGTATATCAGTCAAGCCAAAAATATTACCACATACATTACCATCAACAGATAATCTCTCATTTCTGTGTCTGTTAAATATTTTTTATTTCCATGATCCCCTTCTCCCCCACTTATTACCAACCTTCTCCTACATTGTCCTTAGTATCTAAAGTTGCTTTTCCTGCTATTATACTTTCCAATCCCTCAGTCTCTGCCACAGAGTACAGACATTCAGTATATTTTTGACAGGGAAATACGATGCCTCTCTTTCATAGTCTAGCTTATTTCCTTTAGCATTAATTCTTCCATATTTGTGAGAATTTACATTTTCAAATCCTAAATATATGGCAGAGTGAAATAGCAATGTAAAGTTATATTAAGCTTAAAATGTCCAAAATATTAAATAATAACTTCTACTGATGTTTTTTGTTGGAAACCCACTGGATCTTGGCTGTTCTTTTCCATTTGTGCAGGTTATTCTTTTCTTTATATGCTATTTAGTAGTGACAGTCTACTTTTTCCTAATAACTTTGTAAAAGTCTTGTGAAATGTTAGGAATTTTTGAGTGATATTAAGTTGTGAATTAATGAATTCTAGACTGACTAGCTTGTTAAGTTTTAAGCCTCTAGTGTGCAATATACTCTTTTCTTTTTTTAAGAATTATTTTTATTTAATTTTATTTATTCATTCATTTATTTTAATTTGACCAGAGAGAGACAGAGAGAGAGAAAGAAAGTGAGAAAGTAAGCCACCGGGCTCAAGACTTGAACCGTGGTCAGCAATGTGAGAGTGTCCAGTGCTCTAACCACCATGCCACCTGTTAGTCCCCAATATACTCTTTTCAAAGGTGACTTATCTTCAAATTTTTAGTTGAAAAGTCATTAGAATAACTATTTGCAAAAGTATCCTAAAACTATATTGATTCGTAGATTTTTCAGCACTGAAGTTGAAAATTGTATACAAATTGTTCAAAATCTCTTAGTATTGAACATAACTCTCTCATGTAAAATATTTTCATATTTGAACCTTGAAATTTTTGTCTAAAACTCATTAATATTTCTCCATGTAGAAGATTTTACTTGAATATATTAATTTAATAATAGGAGATAGAGACAAAGGCAGTGCTTGTTCTTCTTTCATTGAATTATGCACCAAATAAAGAATAAGCTAAACTTAAAAAAAAGATGAATATCCCAAATGCATTCTGCAAATACAAACAAAAAAAACAAAACAGAATTTAAACGTAAGCTATAAATCATTAAGCATAATTAAGAACTATATGTAAAGCCCATAATGAAGATAAATAAAACTTTTATATCCTCTATG